CCCCTAGGAGCCCACCTGCATAGAGACTCAGGCCTGCTGTGGTTCCTGTGAGTTCCCAAGCTCTAAAGGGCATGGGGGTTAAGGGAGAAAAGGCCGAGGATATAGGTATGTGTATGTGCGCATGTGCGCCTTGCTCTCTCATGTCTGCGTAGGAGAGGGAAACACACAGAGACTAATAATACTCATCGTAGCCACCATCATATTAATAGTGATAATAGGGGCAGTAGCGATAAAGGCAGCTACCATTTCTTGGCACTTACCGTGTTCCCTGTACTGTGCCAAGGGCTTTACCTGAACGATCCCATTCAGGGAGAGCAGGCAGTGGTGAAGAGCCAGGTCTCAGGGGCAGGTGGGTTGGTTTGGAATCCCAGCTCTGCCACAGTTGGACTCTGGGAAAGTCACTTGGCCACTGTGAGGCTCCACGTCCTCATCTGTAAAATGGGTTCAGAGCCCCAACCTCATGGGGCTCCTATGAGGATGCAATGGGGCCCCGGATAGAAAGCGATTAACACCGAGCCTTCCATACCCAGTAGCGGGTGTTCAGACATGTCCATGTCTGGGTGGGCGGGCGAAGGTGCCTGTCTTGGTGTTGGGGACCTGAGGGGCAAGGTGTGAGGGCCGTGTGTCTACTAGGTGAAGGGTGTTGAGTGTCGGTTGTTCTGTGTTTTTGCTGAGTGGGGTGTTCACTGTTTGGGGGGCCCCCTTTTAAACTGGAGCTCCCCAGCTGGTTTGAATATGCCAGGCTCTCAGCCCCAGGAGGGAGAGTTCTGGTAGCTCCCCGGGGGGCCATTCCGGGCGGCCCCCTGCTTGTCACCAGCTGGGAGATTCCCTCCGTAGCTCGGGGGCCCCAGTCCAGCTGTCCCCTTTCTCCATCCGGGAGTCCCCCTCCGAATGCCAGCACATCCAGCACCCCTCGAGGGCCCTGGCCAAAGGAAGGTTAACAGGAAGGAGAAGGAAGGGCCTGGGGGTGGACCCTGCGGCTCCCGCAGCTCCCGGCTCGGTGCCGGCGGCCGGGGACTTTGAGTCGTCTGAGCGCTAGGGGGCAATGTGTCTGTTCCAAAGAAGCCGCGGTCCGCCGTAGGCCGAGTGCGCCTCCAGGCACCCGCAGGGGCGCCCACTCCACGGAGGCACACACAGGCCGGAGCGTCCACGGGCACAGATGGCCACAGGCGGGCACCCCCTCTCCCACTCGCAGAGCAAACACGCACACCCGAGCAGAGACTCGGGCACACGAGGGGTGAGGCGGGCCCACGCACTAGGGACAGACACAGGCGGACACACAGAGAGACATGGGGGGGTCGACAGCACCTCCCCCAGGGACCCTCAGCGAGACACCCAGAGGTACTCGAAGGCACACGCACCCCACACAGGCGAAGACACAAACGCAGGCCCCCCGCCCCACACCCGCACAACATTCTTGTGTGAAGGAAAGGTGATCCAGACACATCCTGAACAGAAACCCAGCCAGACCCAAACACACCCTGCTTTCAGACACTCACACACCTTGTAGACTGACTCTTGGAAACAGCCCCAGAAAAATACTCCCCCCACCCCCCTGCACCTCCCCACCCCCCAAGCACACAGAATTATTCCACAGGAAACCTGCCCAGGTGTTCAGGGGACCCCCCCCACCCCCGTGTGAAGTCATGCCTCAGCCGAGAGCACACCCCAACCAGGGTCTCCCCAGACTGCAGGTCTGTGGGCCATTCTTCCCACTGCCCTGGCCCACCCAGGCCTCCAGACAGGTCCCAACTTCCCCTGTTCCCTCCAGACACACACGAGACACAATGTCCTCACATGGGGCTCTGGAGACACCCATCTTTCCCAGCACTGATGGTTCTGGACAAGGCGTGCCACCAGCTGTCATGAGCTTTGCATAGGCCTTTGCCCATGCGGGGTCCTCCTCCTGGCGACCATTCCCCCTACTGGTCCCCTTCCTGACCAGGAGGCTCAGGGTCTCCCCATCTCTGGCCTGGGGCCCTGGGTGGGGGTGGGGGTCACTGGAGGCCTACCCAGTACCTTTATTTCTTTGTGCCTAAATCAGCCAAGCCCCAGTCTTTTCCGGCTCTCACTTCCCTGTCACTTTGCTAAGTAATAATTTCCATGTCCGATTCCATTTCTTTCTAGTTCTGAAACCTCTAAGCTATCAGCAAGAGGATAGTTCACATGAAAACTAATTACACAAAATCAATATTTAATCACAGACCAACAACCTGATCCTGCAGAAAAATCCTTTTAAAACTCCACCGCCCTGTACAAATACTTCTTCCTGATGCTTATTTATGGACCCCATTTTTGGTGGGGGTAATTTTCATTTTTAATTTCAAAAGGAAAAAATATCTGTAGACATCCACAACAGGAAGGTCCCAGGAAGGACCTTGGATCTGAGCTGGCTTGGCTCTCTTGAGTTTCAAAGTTGCAAGTTTTTATTGCTTGTTTTCATTTGTATTCTTTTTGGGAGGGGTGTTATTTTCTTCAGGAGTCCCTCAAGAGACCCTGCTTCCCGCCTCCCCTCCGCCGAAGTGGAGCCCATTTTCCTGGCATTTTGGTTCAGGAACACCCAGAGTCTGCTTTCCCAGCAGCAGCTCCGGGGAGCAATGAATTGGTGTGCGCCCAACGCGGTAACTTTTTAACTCCTGCCCACAACGGTGGAGTGCTTAATCTGAGGTTTTTAAATAAAAAGGGCTCAGGGGTTGGTTTTATTATAACGTTTATTTCATTTCAGATTTCATGCGCAATTTAGCAAACGCTAGACAGACTTGGGTGATAAACACTTTCTTTTGTGGGGGGAAAAGGCATTTTTATACACCATGCTTAATTTTATTTAGATTTAATAGCGATATCAGGGGCACTTCAAAGAAAGTTCTTTTTGCCCCCCCTCCCCTTCTCTGAAGAATGCTGGTCTGCTAGCAAAATCGCCTCGTGCTATTTTATGGCAAGGGAAATTACAGGCCTTCTCCCCCTTCCTCCCTTGCATGCACTTTAGGGAGGAAAATACACACACGCAGGCACACAGAATAAACACCTTCCCTACTCTCCATCCCCTCTAACTCCCAACTTCTAATTGTAAGATAGATTTCAGCCTCAGTGGGGATCAGGAAGATCTAAACATTTTAACTAAGATTATTGGGATAAATATTTCATAAAGAGCAGGGCAGATATTAAATTACTCCTATTGATTTTAGTATCACAACCCAATTCCGTTCCTTGGCCTCTTCAGTTTAATTGATCTCTTAAGGAGGCCAAACTCGCGCTCGCAGAGGGCCTGGGCCTTGGCCCGGGGGTCCGGAGTAGGGCGCTCCAGCGGGCGGGTGCACCCTCTGCGCGCGGGTCTTCTCGAAGCTCCCAGCCGCCTCGCGGCTCTGCGTTCATCTGACGTGCACCCCCTATTCCCCACAAGTAGCCGAGTGGTCATGGCTCCTCTGGGCGGAAGCCGGCGACTGAGAACGGGGAACCCCAGAGTGTGCAGATAGGGAACAATTGTGCGCGCCCCAGGGAGGAGGAGTGAGCAAGCGCCGGGGTCTTTCGAGCGGAACCCTAACTTCGGGGTTCCCGGTCTGCTTCCACCTCCAGAAAAATCCGAGGGCCGGTTAACTTGGGTGCCACTGGTAGACAGACAGCGGTGGAGAACCGAGGGTTCCCCCCGGGGCTGAAGCGCAGTTGACTCTTTGCGACTTTCCTTGGCGAGTCCAAGAGCTGTGCTTGGCGACCCCATTGTCTGAGCGCCCCGCACCGCTTACCGCCCACCTCCCCGCCCCCTGCCCAACCCGCAGGTCTCGCTTCAGTTAGGGGTGGGGAGTTGGGAACTGTGCGAGTGGGAAGGGGGGTGAACAAAGCCAAGCTCCCGCCATTCTCCGCCTGCGCCCCTTCCAGCCCGACGCGCCGGGAGGCCAGGGCGCGCCCCCCAGCGCACTGGCGCCGACCCCGAGGCAAACCCCGCGCGGGGCACCCCGGAGCTGGCGGAGTGCAGGTTCATGGCGGGGGCGTCAGCAGCCAGCAACCGGGACCACCTTAAGAGCGAGCCCCGCCCCGGGCCCGGAGCTCGAGCTGCGCTGATTGGTGCAAATGTAATGGCTGAAATTGATTGCTGAAATGCAAAACTTGTTGCTGCTTCTCCCGGCGCTGGGCGAGAGGCAGACACCGAGAGGGGAGCCGAGACCCTCGGAACGCCCCACGCAGAGCCCCCCCGCCAGCCAGCAGAGGGGTGCGCGGACCCCCCCAGGACTGCCCCCCGCCCCCCCGCCCCCATTCCGGGCTCCTAGAGCGTAGCCGGAACGCCTCAGCCCGCTCGTCTAGCGAGGCCCACCGACCCGCGTACGCCCCCCTCCTCGGGTCCGAGGGGGACTCGCGAAGCACCTCGGCGCGGAGGCAGGGAACCCGAGCCTCGGAGCGACCCAACCTCTCGTCTCGCTGCCCGGCCGCGCCTGGAACCGGGCGCGGAGACCCAGGCGAACTCAGAGACCGAACAGAGGAGGACAGAAGCGGCAGGCGGCGGACGTGGCCGCGAAGCGGCGCGCCGGGGTGCAGCGCACCCGCCCCGGAGCAGGGGAACCGCGCCTTCCCTCAAACCTCGGCTCCAACCCCCGGCGCCTGCCGCCTCCCCAGCCCCGCTGCACCCTCGGCTCAGGGCCCGCACCCGTGATGCCGAGCGGAGCCTCCCGCCTTCCGACCCGCTGAAGAAGCAGTAGCCGCTTGCTCGGGGCCGACGGAGACTGTGCGAGCGGATCGTGCTCGGCGGAGGCTCGGGCTGCGGAGCGCGGGGACTTCGGGGGGGAGGGGGGAGGGACCGCTCTGTCCATGCCCGGGCGCCAGCCACAGCTTTGAAGGGTCTCCTTGCTCGGCCCCTTAGCAGCTCCGCCACGGACTCCGGGAGGCATCGGGAGACGTCCTGGGGCTTCCCACCCGACCCGATCGGACTTAAGAAGGTGATCGCTCTGCTCTCCCTTCCTCCTTCCCGCCTCCTTCCCCCCACTTAACTTTTTGTCTCCACTCGCCCGCAGCTCCGACCCCTCCGCGCAAACCCACCCGCGGCTGTGCCAACCGCCGGAGCATGGGCCCCCCAACACGGCTCCCGGAGGCCCCGCGGCACCGCAAGATGTGAGAGGCCCGGGTCCGGCAGAGCCAGAGCTTCGGGAGAGGAGCTGATAGCCCCCAGCCTCCACACGCCAGGCGAGGTGGCGGTGCGCACTGCGCCCCCGCGGTGCTGAGCGTCCCGGAGCGCCCAACCCGGGGCCGGAACGTTTAGCTGGCCGGAGGCGCGCCGCGGAGAGCAGGCTGTCATGCCCTATTGATCCCCCCGCCCCCTGCCAAGTATGTTTGGGCTGGACCAATTCGAGCCCCAGATCAACAGCAGGAACGCTGGCCAGGGCGAGAGGAACTTTAACGAGGCCGGACTAAGCATGAATGCCCACTTTAAGGCCCCGGCTTTCCACGCGGGGGGACCCCCTGGCCCGGTGGACCCTGCCATGAGCGCGCTGGGCGAGCCCCCGATCTTGAGCATGAACATGGAGCCTTACGGCTTCCACGCGCGTGGCCACTCGGAGTTGCACGCGGGGGGGCTGCAGGCGCAGCCGGTGCACGGATTCTTTGGAGGCCAGCAGCCGCACCACGGCCACCCGGGAGGCCACCACCCCCACCAACATCACCCCCACTTTGGGGGCAACTTCGGCGGCCCGGACCCGGGGGCCTCATGCCTGCACGGGGGTCGCCTACTTGGCTACGGCGGCGCCGCCGGCGGCCTGGGCAGCCAGCCGCCCTTCGCGGAGGGTTATGACCACATGGCGGAGAGCCAGGGGCCGGAGAGCTTCGGCCCGCAGCGACCCGGGAACCTCTCGGACTTCCACAGTTCGGGCGCCTCGGGTCATGCGGTGCCTGCCCCGTGCTTGCCGCTGGACCAGAGCCCTAACCGAGCCGCCTCCTTTCACGGCCTGCCCGCCTCCAGCGGCTCCGATTCCCACAGTCTGGAGCCCCGCAGGGTGGCCAACCAAGGGGCCGTCGACTCGCTGGAATACAATTACCCTGGCGAGGCGCCCTCGGGACATTTCGACATGTTTTCGCCCTCCGATTCCGAGGGGCAGCTGCCTCATTATGCGGCGGGGCGCCAGGTTCCCGGGGGCTCGTTCCCCGGTGCGTCGGCCATGCCCAGAGCTGCAGGCATGGTGGGCTTGTCCAAAATGCACGCCCAGCAGCCGCCGCCGCCGCAGCAACCGCAGCCTCAGCCGCCGCCGCAGCAGCACGGCGTGTTCTTCGAGAGGTTCGGCGGGGCCCGCAAGATGCCCGTGGGGCTGGAGCCGGCAGTAGGCTCCAGGCACCCGCTAATGCAGCCTCCCCAGCAGGCCCCGCCGCCCCCTCCGCAGCAGCCCCCGCAGCCGCCGCAGCAGCCCCAGCCCCAGCCGCAGCCGCAGCCGCCGCCGCCGCCGCCGCCGCCGCCGCCGCCGCCGCCCGGGCTTCTGGTCCGACAAAATTCGTGCCCGCCTGCGCTCCCGCGGCCGCAGCAGGGCGAGGCGGGCACGCCCAGCGGCGGCCTGCAGGACGGGGGCCCCCTGCTGCCCAGCCAGCACGCCCAGTTCGAGTACCCCATCCACCGGCTGGAGAACCGGAGCATGCACCCGTATTCGGAGCCCGTGTTCAACATGCAGCACCCCCCTCCGCAGCAGGCGCCCAACCAGCGGCTGCAGCATTTCGACGCGCCCCCCTACATGAACGTGGCCAAGAGGCCGCGCTTTGACTTCCCGGGCAGCGCGGGAGTGGACCGCTGCGCTTCGTGGAACGGCGGCATGCACAACGGCGCGCTGGACAACCACCTCTCGCCCTCCGCCTATTCGGGCCTGCCCGGCGAGTTCACGCCGCCCGTGCCCGACAGCTTCCCCTCAGGGCCAGCCCTGCAGCATCCGGCCCCGGACCACCAGTCCCTGCAGCCGCAGCCGCAACACCAGCAGCCCCAGCAGCAGCAGCGCCCAAACGCGGCCCTCATGATTAAGCAGATGGCGTCGCGGAATCAGCAGCAGCGCCTGCGCCAGCCCAACCTTGCCCAGCTAGGCCACCCCGGGGACGTGGGCCAGGGCGGCCTGGTACACAGCGGCCCGGTGGGCGGCTTGGCCCAGCCGAACTTTGAGCGCGAAAGCGCGGGCGCGGGGCGCCTGGGCACCTTCGAGCCGCCGGCGCCTCACTTGGCGCAGGAGAGCGCGTGGTTCCCAGGGCCGCACCCGCCGCCGGGGGACCTGCTGCCCCGCAGGATGGGCGGCTCGGGCCTGCCGGCTGACTGCGGCCCGCACGACCCGGGCCTGGCGCCGCCCCCTCCCCCCGGGGGCTCGGGCGTGCTGTTCCGTGGCCCTCTGCAGGAGCCGCTGAGGATGCCCGGAGAGGGCCACGTGCCCGCGCTGCCCTCCCCCGGCCTGCAGTTCGGGGCCAGCCTGGCGGGTCTGGGCCAGCTGCAGTCGCCCGGGTCTGGGGTGGGGCTGCCCAGCGCTCCCTCCGAGCGCCGGCCCCCGCCGCCGGATTTCACGGCACCGGCGCTCGGGGGCCAGCCCGGCTTCCCGTTCAGCGCGGCGAACCGGCAGGCCACGCCGCACAGCGGCCCAGGCGTGAGCTCGCCCCCGAGCGCGGGCGGGGGCGGCGGCAGCACGGGCGGCGGCGGCGGCGGCGGCGGCGGCGGCGGCGGCGGGGGCGCCTATCCGCCGCAGCCTGATTTCCAGCCCAGCCAGCGCGCCTCGGCCAGTAAGCTGGGCGCGCTGTCGCTGGGCTCCTTCAGCAAGCCCAGCTCCAAGGACAACCTGTTCGGCCAGAGCTGCCTGGCTGCACTCTCCACTGCCTGCCAGAACATGATCGCCAGCCTCGGGGCCCCCAACCTCAACGTGACCTTCAACAAGAAGACCCCGCCCGAGGGCAAGAGGAAACTGAGCCAGAACGAGGCCGACGGCGCGGCTGCGGCCGGCAACCCGGGCTCGGAGTACTTCCCCGGAGGGACTGCCCCTGGGGCCCCAGGGCCTGCAGGCCCGTCGGGGACTAGTACCAGCGGCTCCAAAGCCTCAGGGCCGCCCAACGCACCCGCCCAGGGGGATGGCACCAGCCTCTCCCCAAACTACACCCTGGAGTCAACGGCCGGGAACGACGGCAAGCCGGTCCCCGGGGGCGGAGGTCGGGGACGCGGTCGGAGAAAAAGGGACAGTGGTCACGTGAGCCCCGGGACCTTCTTCGACAAATACTCGGCAGCGCCAGACAGCGGGGGCGCGCCTGGGGTGAGCCCCGGGCAGCAGCAGGCGCCAGGCGCAGCCGTCGGGGCGAACCCCACCAGCGAGGCTCGCGGGGCTCCTACGCCCCACGACAAAGCGCTCACGTCGCCGTCGTGGGGGAAAGGGGCCGAGTTGCTCCTGGGGGACCAGCCGGACCTCATGGCTTCCCTGGACGGCGGGGCCAAGTCGGACGGTAGTTCCCCACACGTGGGCGAGTTTGCCTCGGACGAGGTGAGCACCAGCTACGCCAACGAGGACGAGGTGTCATCCAGCTCCGACAACCCCCCAGCCCTGGCCAAAGCGAGTAGGAGCCCCCTGGTGACAGGCTCGCCCAAACTCCCTCCGCGTGGGGTGGGCGCTGGGGAACACGGACCTAAGGCGCCCCCGCCCCCGCTCGGCCTGGGCATCATGTCTACCTCTACCTCCACCCCTGACAGCTACGGCGGCGGGGGCACGGGCCACCCTGGCACCCCGGGCCTGGAGCAGGTCCGGACCCCAACGAGCAGCAGCGGGGCACCACCCCCGGATGAGATCCACCCCCTGGAGATCCTCCAGGCGCAGATCCAGCTGCAGAGGCAGCAGTTCAGCATCTCTGAGGACCAGCCCCTGGGGCTCAAGGGTGGCAAGAAGGGTGAGTGTGCCGTTGGGTCCTCGGGCACGCAGAATGGCGACAGCGAGCTGGGCAGCTGCTGCTCCGAAGCTGTCAAGAGCGCCATGAGCACCATCGACCTGGACTCGCTGATGGCGGAGCACAGCGCCACCTGGTACATGCCCGCCGACAAGGCCTTGGTGGACGGCGCGGACGATGACAAGACGCTGGCACCTTGGGAGAAGGCCAAACCCCAGAACCCCAACAGCAAAGAAGGTATATGCGCTTGTTCCCTTCTCATCTCCCCCAGACCCGTCCCCACCCTCACTGCAGGCCTTAGTCTAGCCTGGAGTCCTCCATGGGAGGGGACGATCCCTTGGGGTTAGGAGGGCGCGGGCCCTCTTAATGCCCAGCTCAGAGCTGGATATACCCTCCTTTTGGTTACAGCAAGGGCTCTGTGGGCCCATCTCCCACTTCCACCCCCCACCCCCAGGTGCTGCCAGGTGGATTGTAGTTCCTCACCGAGGTAGGAACTTAGATGGTAGCCCTGTGGGGATTATTTCAGAGTCCCTTCACCAAGTTTTAGCTGGGTTGCCGCGTGCTCAGAGGACAGGGCAGGCCCCTTTCCTTTCACACCAAGACCCCTCCTCACCCTTAACACTCAGGCTGGTTCCACTTTGTAGGAGTTGTGTGCCTGCGCCCCCCTCCCCCCTTTCCTGGCAGGACACCTGGGAAGTTGTGTTAATAACCTTCCCACCTTTTCCTAGTCAGCCAACCTCCAGCCTGAGTTCCCTTCCATGTGCCAGCATCTTTAGAGAGACAAAAAAAGTTACCAGGCCCTGGGGACCACAGCAGCACTCAGAGGCAACGCCTAATTTGACAGTTGTTTCTAATGAATAGGTGTTTTGTCTCTTCTTAGCTATTAGGGTTTCACTGGAAACCTGGAGACCTGTCTGGTTGTAGGAGGCAGGCAGGCTTTTCCCGGTGGCATCTCCTTGACATTTGGGTGGGGGGTGCTGGGGCTGGGGTGGGGTCTGCTTGGCAGAGACCGGACCACTCAGCCAGGGCATCATTTGTGTATAGGGATATGGATATATGTTCTTAAGACACAAAGGACCGCGTTTGTCAATATCTCGCCTGGCTTTGGTGACAGATGTCTGGTCCCAGCTCTTGTTTGCATTCTAAGCACTCCCTCCCCACCAGGCCTGGAGGCCTTTAAGGTGGGTGAAGTGGGGGGTTAGCAAAGGGACCTCCATTGCAGTTAAAGTAGTAGCAGTTTTGTTTTGAACCGAAAGAGAACTGGACTGCAGTAGATAACCGTTTCATTTTAACGGGGGCCTTTCTTTTTTTCACAGAAAACTGCTTCTTAAAATTAGGTAACATCATGCCTCTCCACCCCGGCCCCCCCCCCCCCATTCCTACCTTTTTCTTTTAAACCCTAGATGGCCTTCCCTAGGTTTCACGGGGGCTGAATATTACCAGGGAACCAGCGGCTGCTGATTGAACCCTGTCTAAAAAAAATAGACGTCCCCTGATTCTTGCTCTCTCTTAGAGTTCTTCTCCTCTGTCTTCGTGGGCCTGGGCCTCCTGCCTCTGGCTTTAAGGTGCGGGTAGCTTTTAGGAGAATGGGCTGGAGGAGGAGGAAGGAGGAGGGGGGAGGGGAAGGGAGGCCCCGGAGTTGGGTGGCTCAGAACTCGGGGCTTTCACCGCTGCCGTCCTGGGTAGCGTTCCCGCTTAGGTTTTTCTAATTCATGAATGCAGCCTCCCTGCTTTTCTCTTTGTTCGCCTACTGCCCAGCCCGGGACGCTGCTCTCATTTGAAGCCTGCTGTTTAGCATGCACGGCAGACGCTGCGGCCAGCATCAGCATTCTCCAGGCTTCTCCCAGGCAAGGCCATAAATTGGTTAGTTTGGGACCCTCCGCTGCTTCTCCCTAGTTTTTACCAACCCCCCCCCATCCTTTTTAAAATGGACTTGGACACAGCATCCTGCTTGCCCGGCTCCCGGGCCCCCCCTCCCATCCCTAGTCTCTTTTATTTTCTTGTACACAACGTCTCGATCCTACCCTGATCGATAGCTGGTTAGCACAAATCCCAGCCCCTGTCACTTCTACCTGGCTTGGCCTGGCTGCCCCTCCCCCTCCTCCCCTCCCCCATCCCAGTAATTAAGAACATATTGGCCAAAATAGGGTGAGAAAAGTTTTTTAAAAACCCCTGATTTTGAGAATTAATAAAGAAAAACCAGTAGCCCTCAGCCTGCGAGTCTTCTGAAGGGCCTTCGTAGATTAGGTAGAGAGGAATTGAGTGGTTTTAAGATTTTTTTAAAGGTGTCACAGGTCCCCCAATCTCCTTTCCAGAAAAAAAAAAAAAAAGATGCAGGCTATGAATGAAGAGATGTCATTAAAGATACGTTTTGTTTTGTTTGTTTCATTATCACAGTCAGAAGAGCGAAAATATTTTTTTGGAAACAGATGCTAGTCACTTGAGGGTTGATTCCCCCTGTAAGCTAAAGGCAGCCTTCCCTTGCACAGAGGGGAGAAGGGGGGGACAGGGGCTTCCTTCGGGGACGGGGACAGGCTGCAGGGCTGGCCTCCTTAGCAGCATCACAGGGACACCCACTTGACCTCCTTTGTTTTCCACTCTGTGATGTGGGAAGGACAGTTTCCTAGATAAAGCCCCGAATTGAGGTCACTCACAGCTTCTGCAGCCTTGGGGCTGCTAGTTAAGGCTTTATAAGGTATCTGCATCCGATTCCTGCTCCCTTACTGGTAGTAAATTAGGATGATTAAACTTTTCATTATGATAACACCCTGCAGTTCCATCTGCACATGTTGTATAAATAGGTACGCAGAGCCTTCAACAGCCCCCCAGTCCCCTGGCTGAAAATCAGTGAAGTGTGCCACTTCAAAATAGAGGCAAAAAAAAATTTTAAAGTACAACGATCTGCTTGTCCTTAAACACATGCCCGTGGGCCTGTCGGCCCCGAATCGGGGTGTCCAGCAGCTTCAAACATACCTTCTGGAGGTCCCAGCCCCCAGCCAGCACCTTCTCTCCCACCCCCTTTCAGGCAAAGCCCGTTTTTATAATGATATTTTATTTTGTCACGCCGTAAAACACGCCAGTACTAATGTGATTAAATATTAACACCGTTTCTGAAATTCTTCGCTCCGATGACAAAGTACGAGTCGGTATTTAACAAAATGATCTGTGCTCGGATTGGTGAGAACTGATCAGTCTTCAGACCCGCACAAGCCATGTAGTCAGTGGGACGTGCCCAGATTGTCTTATGGGGTTTAGATGTCCTTTCGAGGGGAGGGAACTCAAATGGCAAGTTGTAGTTCTGGCAAAGGCCAGGCCAGAATCACGTGTGATGATTGATTTTTTTTTTTTTTTTTTAAACCAGGTAACCGGGTCTTCTCCAAATTAGGCTTCTCCTGACTTCTTAACCCACCCAACAACTTTTATATAATGAAACTCCTCATCTCATCTTGAGGTTCTGTTTGCACAAAGTTGGGGGCAGGGGCGGGGAAGGGTGAGGTTGTGGGGGGGGGGGGGGGGAAGAAAAACCAGCTTGAGTTTGGCCCTATTCAGACATCCATTAGATCAGTGAGGATGATGTGAATTTGAGAGGAGTTGGCAAAACCGTCCACCTATCCTGGTAATAGATGTGTGGCCGTGGAGAAATTCCAAAACTGACAGAGAAGGAGAAAAAATGGGGCATTGTAGATAAGAGGGTATTAAGTCTGAAAAAGTACGTTCCCCCCCTCCTGCCCCTGACGATTTTCAAAATTTGAATTAACTGTGTTCTGTAATAAGTTGACCCTTGCCAAACTTCCATTCCGTGGCTTGCTCCCGGTCCTGAAATCCGGAGTGGTCTAGAAACGTTCCTTCACACACATTGAAATAGGAGAGGGCTCCGTATACAGCGTGCATGCAATCCTGCCCTTTTTGGAAGTATGATATTTTTACAGTGATGCGGGAGAAATTTTTGGAATTTCATGCCTCTCCGAGTGTGCCGGTCGGAACTCAGTAAGCAGTGCTGAGAAATAGTGGGCAGGCAGGATTTGGACACTGAGTTTCCTTTGACGTGGGGGCAGGCTTGGGGGAGGAGGGAGGCCCCAGGGCTGCTTTCCTGAGTAGTTTCCCTCACTCCCCACGGCATGGAGAGAATTTTTTCGGCTCACTCAGACTTGTTTTGGGAGGGCAAGGAGCCTTGCCTTTCCATGTCCCTGCAGAATCACCCAGCGAGGGCTGCATGCCTTCATGTGACTTTTGTGCCTCCGGAAGATTGTAACCCAAAACTTCGCAGGTGTTAATCAGGGGTAACGTAAACAGATAGGAGCCCCCTTTGTGCAGCTGACGTCCCAGCCTGCTTGCTCCCTGACTAGTCCGGAACGTACTATTACTGTTCGTTGGTGCTTGTTTAATATTTCATGGCTGTAATAAACCTGTCTCCTTTGCCCGCCTCCCGGCATAAACCCCAGCCTAGCGCACATCTGCAATTATACATTTCTGCTAAATATTAATAAAGGACACGGATTTTTAAGGGTTTGAAGCTTATCGGTGTTGAACTTGTTAATGGCTTCCACCGCTGGATTTTTCTGGCTGTTTTGATTTTAAAGAAGCCACTGCCTTCTGATACATCATGTAGACCTATATTCTTTCCTATGTGTATGTATATATGTAAATATATAAATATGTACAATTTTCGTAGATGGAAGGGCTTTCCTCAAGGATGGCTTTCTTTAATATAAATTCATTTACATTTCTTGTGAGGCCCTTCAGACCGGAAGTAAGGGGCTTTTGAAATGTACTTCTGTTTTATTGAGGTTTCTAGGAAGGGAGTGAGGGCTAGTTAATCTAATATCTCTTTCTAGCAATGAAATTCTATGGTTCCTGATATGATTTTGTTTGCCTGACAGAGGTATTTAAATTTCCACAAAGAATCTTAATAGGTCCTGAAAAATAGATCCTGCCCTTGCCAAGAAGTTACCTGATACTCTCTACTGATATAAAATATACATCTTTAATAAACAGTCCGGGAGGACCAGGTGAAATTGGAGGAAGGAAATTCTTCCCACTCTGGCGGGACAAACTTGAGTGGATCCTTGGGATTTCACAGGATCTCCTGAATTCACTCCCCACTGGAGGATAGAGCAAAATCACCTTTCTCTCCACTTGAGGGACAATCACGTAGGGTCACGTTCTTTGCACAGGGAGTGATCTGCTTTGCCAAAGGCACTTAGGAGATAAATACTCCTGGTAAGGAATACTGTTAT